TCAGGATGCCAGGCTCCCAGCTCAGGGTCAGCAGGAGGTCAGGGCGTCTCTGCTTTAGCCTGACAGACGAGATCTGATGAACGCCTGACGGTCTGAGCGACTCGGTTCCACTTGTGGCCAAACTGGAAACATTGGTTCCATTTTCAAAGCATCAGAGGAACCAGACCAACCTGCAGAAGAAGACAGGTAGGAAGTTTCACCTGGAGAAGTTCAGCAGTGTTTATGTCCTGCTAACGGTTGCGCAGGTGTTCATTTGAGCAGGACCTGGACGCAGCGACGATCTCAGTGTTTGTGTTAATCTTGACGCTTCGTTTCCACAGCTCAGCCTCTGGATTCTCTGTTTACGCCCGAAATGTTGAGTCTTTCTCATTTTGCTAAGTTGGAACCACTAAAAGTAATTTTTTTAATCTGGATTTTATCAGATAGACGAAGCACAACGATGAAATGGAAGCTAAATAATAAAACCTTTTAGTGTTTTTGCAAAATCTCAACAGTGTTGTCTGAATGTTCAACTTTATGGTAAAGAAGTTTAAACATTTTATCGGCATATATTAACATTTAAAAAGGGTTTTAATATAAATCAGTGAAACTTTCCTCTGTGTTTGTGGATTTTATCTGGCCCTCCTGGAGGCGGGGCTTAATGCTGACAATCACACTCATGTATACATTGCTAAATGAAAGAGGAAGTTTCTTCAGGATTATGAAGTGAAAACTGGAATATTTATTAGAAATGTTTAAAACAAAACATCATTTGTCTTTCTTTTCACATTTCTACATCACTGTTTTATTTACAAAAAAACAATAAAATGCACAAAGAAAATTTATTGATTTTACTTTTATTTGCTTAATTTTTAGATTTGTTTCATTTTTTTCTGCGACTCCTTTTGACTGGACAGTTTTTGCTGAAACGTTTGAACGTTGCTGTAAATGTGAGAAAATACTTTAGAAAATTTGAGATGTTGATGCTTCTTCTTCCTCTTCCTGAGTTTTCCAGCTGTTTGTTTGGACAGAGCGGCTCCTTTAACCGGTTTTTGTCTTTTGAACACTGATGAAAACGTCTGCAGCATCTGTTCACTGAAACATTCATTTATCTTTTATTTTACCAAGAAAGAGAGGAATAAACCCAAAAGCATCAAACGGTTCTGGAAGACAAACAGAAAAAAGCTGCAGAGTTTCCAGTTTGAATTTGCGTTTAGTTTTCGTCTCAGCGAGGAATCTGTGAAAACCTAATTCGACCTTTGACATTTGACTTGTCTGGTTTGGGAGCTGATTTGCACGTCTGGCTGCAGTTTGAGAAAAATGTAAAACTTTCAGTTTCAGATGTAAAGAGCTGAAGACATTTTTCTGGGCATCAAATGCAAATTTCTTAATTTAACACAAAATGTTGAGTGAAAACAGAGAATGTAGAATGTGAGGCTTTGCTGAACGTCAAACACTTTGACAGAGTTAAATGTTTATTAATATCAGACCTTTCTTTCCCATCACTTTTCAGGATGTTTCTTTTTTTGGGCAATTCGCTGAAGTAACTAAACACAAATTGATTTTTCTTGCTGAAAAATTAGTTTTATTTCAAAAGTACGAAGATATTTGCTGTTAAAACTGAACCAACTTGGCAGGATTTTGTGTTTTTGCAGTGCAACAACAAATGATTTCACAGACAGAGATGTTTAACCGGAATAGTAATTGCATAATAAAACATTATATTCACTGTTTAGTTCTTGTTCTGCTGCGTTTAATATGATGCAGCTGTGAGCAAAACTTCCCTTTTCACCTCCAACTCAGTGACAAGCAGAACGTTTCTGACAGAAACCTGGAGAAAAGTCAGAGCTGAAACTTTTCCAGAGCAGCTGAAGATCCAAGCGATGAGAAACAGGGCGGCTGACTGTGGGAGAACGGAGGCGAACAGCAGCTGCTCTCCTGCCTCGGCATTACGGATCATTCAGGATCCAATCGCTGCAGGATCAACCAGAACTGGAGGATCTGCTGCTCTGAGGAGGATCCAGACGACGGAACCAAACTGCCCCAACTTTATCAGGTCGATGATAATATCCATGTCCTGAGGCCATTTTCAACTAAGTTAATGCAGAAACACATTTAATGAACATTAAACACTGGAATATTATAAATACTCAAAATAAATTAATAAAACAAATAAAATGAATTATAAAGTCTCTGTAAAATAAATTATCCTTCAAAAATAAGGTGAAAACATCAGACTGGAGACTTTATTATTTATTCATTATTAAATCTTTTCTGTGTTTAATAATTGGATGATGAGCAGATTTGTTGCTAATGTGGCGACCAAACATTAATGCTAACATTAATTCTAACATTAATGCTAATCATTAATGCTAAACATTAATGCTAATCATTTATGCTAAACATTAATGCTAACATTAATTCTAACATTAATTCTAACATTAATGCTAATCATTAATGCTAAACATTAATGCTAATTATTTATGCTAAACATTAATGCTAACATTAATTCTAACATTAATGCTAAACATTAATGCTAATCATTAATGCTAAACATTAATGCTAGACATTAATGCTAACATTAAAGCTAAATATTAATGCTAAACATTAATGCTAACATTAATGCTAAACATTGATTCTAACATTAATTCTAACATTAATGCTAAACATTAATGCTAATCATTAATGCTAAACATTAATGTTAATCATTGATGCTAAACATTAATGCTAACACTAATGCTAAACATTAATGCTAACATTAATGCTAAGCATTAATGCTAATCATTAATGCTAAACATTAATGCTAATCATTGATGCTAGACATTAATGCTAATCATTGATGCTAGACATTAATGCTAACATTAAAGCTAAACATTAATGCTAACACTAATGCTAAACATTAATGCTAACATTAATGCTAAACATTAATGCTAACATTAATGCTAAACATTAATTCTAACATTAATTCTAACATTAATGCTAATCATTAATACTAAACATTAATGCTAATCATTTATGCTAAACATTAATGCTAACATTAATTCTAACATTAATGCTAAACATTAATGCTAATCATTAATGCTAAACATTAATGCTAGACATTAATGCTAACATTAAAGCTAAATATTAATGCTAAACATTAATGCTAACATTAATGCTAAACATTGATTCTAACATTAATTCTAACATTAATGCTAAACATTAATGCTAATCATTAATGCTAAACATTAATGTTAATCATTGATGCTAAACATTAATGCTAACACTAATGCTAAACATTAATGCTAACATTAATGCTAAGCATTAATGCTAATCATTAATGCTAAACATTAATGCTAATCATTGATGCTAGACATTAATGCTAATCATTGATGCTAGACATTAATGCTAACATTAAAGCTAAACATTAATGCTAACACTAATGCTAAACATTAATGCTAACATTAATGCTAAACATTAATTCTAACATTAATGCTAAACATTAATTCTAACATTAATTCTAACATTAATGCTAACATTCATGCTAACATTAATGCTAATCATCTCAGTGAGGAAACGGATGGTGTCCTGGATGAGCCGCTGGTTCCTTCAAGCTGCATTTGGTTCATTTTCCGTCTAAACTTCACACAGATTTAAATCATTTTCTTTTGACGGATTGTTTTGCTTCAGTTTCAGGTTCATCTGTCAGCCTGAGGTTTGAATCAGCCATGCTGGGGTCAAAGGTCAGAGCAGATCAGCAGTAGCTCTGATCTGTCGATCATTCTGGAATCATCCACTCTGTCCAAGTCTCATAAACAGAGGTTGTTATTTTTTAATTTTTCAGTAAAGCCGTCTTTTCGGAGATGCAGACCAGATGTTGACCTTCCCAGCTAATTATCTTCCACCCTCAGGAACAAAACGTACAAAATGTTCTCTGACTCAGAGGCGGCTGATGAGTGTTTGAAGGCATCCTTGGTTTGAAAATCAGTTTGTTGCAAAGAACAAAACAAATTGCTCCTAATTTCATGCGACCCAGCAGTGGTGTCCAAAGTGTGGAGCGTGGGCCATTTTCCGGCCGTGAAATAACTTTCTGTGGCCCCGACTGCAGCGCACGACTGATCCAGTCTGCTCCAGCAAATGGATCTGATGCAGAAACTTTGATTTAAATGTCTTAGGATGAGAATTTTGCAGTTATAAGCTCACATATTTATGCTTCGTTAAAATGTAAAATGTTTGCTGCAACGTTTTCATGTTTTCATTTTAAATCAGAATAAACTCGGTCCATTCATTCGATAATCTTGGAAAAAAACATTTTGCAAACAAACAAAATAGAAAATATCAACTGAAAAAGTTTGGAGAAACTTCTTGATTTCTTTTTGTTCCACTAAGATGTTAAACCTTTAATTTGTTGAGTCCATTCTGCATTGTGAAAATATTTATTGTGCATTAAATTCAAATGAATAAATTCCTGCTGAATCTGGAAGTATTTCAGTTCCAGAGAAAATGGAGCAACACATTCCTTCACTAGAGATGTATTTATTTCCTGCTGGTTGTAATCAGATGAAAATAAAGCGACAGGAAGTTGTCGGTTTGAGCAGCGTTTACAGTCGGCGGCGTTTCTTCAGCAGCCGTTTCACGCTGTCGTAAAATCCCTTTTTGGATTTACTGTAAATATTGAAGAGAGAAAAATCGGATGATTTGCTTGATTTTGGGTTCAACTGGAATTTTTTTTTGTTCTAAATTTACATTTAAAAAATCTGAAATTTTGAAATTAATCTCAGAAATTTTCTGCACCAAATTTAAAAATTTCAGTTTCAAATGTCAATAATTTAAAAACTTTTTTTCAATTTATGAGATGAATCTCAATTTATGTGGAAATATACATTTTTGTAGTAAAATTTCGCTACATTATTTGCTTGATTTTCGATTGTTTTTGACCCAACAGTTTGGTCCAACTGACACCCTGATGACATCATCATTTTAATACAAAATGGACATGAGGACATGAGGACATGAGGACATGAGGACGGCATTCAGCCGGGGCCAGGTCACCATGGTGGAGACAGGAGCTGATTGGGCCGATGCTCAGGACTGTGAGGTGAGTGCGCGCGCACACACACACACACACACAACACACACACACCCACACACACACACACACACACACACACACACACACACACAGAAATCCCTGCTGATGCAGAGTTTTGATGGCTGCAGCTTCAGGGGATCCCCGGTGGGAGGGTCGGCGCTGCTTCTCAGGACTATCGTTTACAGACATGTTCAACCTTTTGGCACCGCCTCACACAATGACTGCATTTCTTTTGGATGCAACATGAAAACCTGCAGCTGCAAACATTACATCACGAGTCATCAGACATTTTTCATCACAGACGTTTGTGGAAGATTTTCTTTTTGACAAGCTGCTTTCTAGGAATGAGATGTCTCTGAAGTAATATTTTAGTTCTGCACAGCAACAGTAAACAAAAAATTGAACGTGCAAGCTAAATATTGAGTTTGTGAACGTTTGGTTTCTAAACAAAATATTTTGCAATGTCTTCCACCATTATACATTGAAAAACTTCCAGTTAACAAGCTGTTAAAACAGCTTCCTCTGCAGTCAAGGACGTTGCACCGTGTGAGTTTGCAGGTTGGCTTAGTTGCTAAACTTGTAGCTTAAATTCCAATGTAAATATTTATTTTTTTCCAAGCTGAACAATTAATTTACGAATATTTATCTTCCTAACTAAATATTGAGCTCAGATCTAAATATTTTGCTTGCAAACTAGCTAGCAAGCTAAATATTTAATTAGGAGGCTAGCTTGTAGCTAAATATTTATTTAAGTTGCAATATAAGTATTTATTTTGCTCATACAATTTTGTCTAAGCTAAACATTTAATTTACCTGGGATTAGCTCGGTTTTGGATATTTAGCTTGCTAACAAAGCATTGAGCTAGCAGCCTTCCTGTTCAGCTAGCAGGTTAGCCTGCTAGCTGAACATTTAGTTTAAGTTCCAGAGTAAATATTAGTTTTTAAAAATATGTAGCTCTGACCTAAACATTTAGCTAAATATTTGTCTTGGGACCTGCGACTTTTATAAAGGTATTAATGGTGAAAATATGACTTTCTTCCCTTAAATGAAAGGCTGAACAAACCAAATTATTCCTGACTGTGTGACTTTACAAATGGACCATAATAATAAAATCCAGAGAAACATTAAATGTTATTAGTTTTATGGATAAGCACATAGCTGGAACCTTTGACATCTTTAATTTATAAATCTCTATTGAAGGTTTTGCCCAGGATGTGAAAGTATATCAATAACTCCTGGTTTGGAGGTTTTGGTTATTTTGCAGCCAGCAGAGAGAACATTCCTGATCTGATCCCGGCTGCTCGCCCTGCCTCCCTCCAGACCTCCTCTCCTCCAAGCCACAAGTGTTTGATTCGCTGCCTGGTCCTGCATGTTAATGAGCAGAGGCAGCGTGGAGCGGTTTAAAGCTGGCTCAGCCTCCAGACGGAGCGGCAGGAGAGTTGGAGACGCATCCAAAGCGCGCAGGACGCACAGACGGAGTTCAGAGCGACGACAAGCAGAAAACCTTCCTTCCTTCCTTCCCTGCAAGTGGATTTAATCTGCAGCCACCAACGTCCGTCCAGTTCGCATTTCCTCCTGACCGCTGAGGAATCCAGTCTGTGGAACTTCTGTTTTTCAGAACCAGTATTTCACGCCATGCATCGGTGCAAAGTGCTGCTGCTGCTGCTCATCCTGCACTTCCTGAGCGCAGAAGGTAAAACCTTCATTTATTGAAAAAATGTGGGCTTGGCGCCCAAACTGGTGATGTAACAGTTTCCTGCTCTGTTTACTGACTCTGTGTTCCTGGAAGGAAACGGAGAGAAAAGTCCAGTTTCACTGGGATCCAGAACCAAGTTCAGCGTCTCTGACAGAAACACCTGCTGCATGCAGGAATCAGATCAGACTCTGGCAATAAACAACAATCAGTTCATCCACCACAAGTTAAAATGAGATCAATAATTTCCATTGATGGTTTTTCTACCAGAAACTGGATGATAAAAGTCTCCAGTTTGATGTTTTGACATTTGAAGGATCATTTTGCTTTCAGAGAATAAATGATTCATTTTATTTGTTGTTTTTGTTCTGATGATCCATGTTGGATGTTTAAAATGTTTCTTGCTTTTGCATTATGTGACCTAAAAATGGCTTCAATAGAGGAATATTTTTGCAGTAAATTCTGAGAAAATGTTTCATCCAGAACCGTTTGTTACTGTGACGGACCTGATCACAGTGAGTCTGCTGGAATGAAGCCAGTATTTCTGCTATTTGGAGAATATTTTACCATTATTAATTTGAGAAGTTGGATTAAATTAACTGAAATCGTTTAGATTCTTTCAATAATAGTTTGAGGTTCCTTTGACTCTGATTGGTTTTGTTGTTTCCACTCGGCGTCTTTCAGGCGTTTGAAGCTGCTGTGTTTCTGCAGAGCGCCGTAAACGTCTTCTCTCCAGTCGATATGAACTTGTGTGTTTTCTGTCATTCTGATCCCGTGTGAGCGTGCTCTGCAGCTCTGCAGCTCTGCAGCAGCTGCAGCCTGATTTAACGGGCCGCAGGTCGGCGCTGATAGCAGCTGATGGATGAAGGGAAACCGTGGACTATCCGGGTCATCCCAGATATACAGCCAGCTAAACCAATTTTCTCCGGCTCTTTCTGGCCGGCAGCAGGGCCGTGACCGGCGGGCAGCTGGAGCCGCAGGGAAGATGAATGTGGAGTTACTCAAGAAACGTGTCAATAAATAGCAGGTGTTATCTGGGTCAGAGCTCTGAAACACGACGTGTCCCAGACAGAAAGATAAAAAAACAGCTGAACGGATACAGAACCGAAGCAACAGCTTATTAACTGGAGTTTTCCTGTCGACATGTTTAAATGTGTTTTGCAGAGAACAGAACAGTTCTGACATGTCTCCATTTCTCCTCAGCCTATAAGTGCAGATGCACCAGAAAAGGACCAAAGATCAGATATAAGGACGTTCAGAAGCTGGAGATCAAACCAAACATCCCTTCTGCCAAGAGAAGATGATATTGTGAGTTATTGAGAATATTTACTGAAACTATTTCAGTCTTTCTTATTCTTCTCCCTCCTTCATCAAGTCCAAACCTTTTGCCACAACCAACAAAATCAATAAGTTAAGCAGTGGGCCAGAAACATGAAATATTTTTAAAATGTTTCTGTTCCTTTTTTGTTGTTGTTCCTTTTGTAGAAAACAGATCAATATATAATAGTATGTGCAAAGAAATATAAAAGAATATCTTCACATAAGACAGGCTCACAGTGATGTTTGTTATTAGGACGGATCAAAGGAATAAAACACAGAAACTGTAGGAAATGACTAAAAACACAGAAACTGACTAAAAACATTGAAACGACTAAAAACACAAAACGACTAAAAACACAGAACCGACAAAAAGACAAAACTAACTAAAACACCGACTAAAAAACAGAAACTGACTAAAAACACCGACTAAAAACAGAAACGACTAAAAACACAGAAACCGACTAAAAAACACAAAAACCGACTAAAACACAGAAACGACTAAAAACACCGACTAAAAAACAGAAACCGACTAAAAACACAGAAACCGACTAAAACACAGAAACCGACTAAAAACACAGAACCGACTAAAAACACAGAAACCGACTAAAAACAGAAACCGACTAAAAACAAGAAACCGACTAAAAACACAGAAACCGACTAAAAACACAGAAACCGACTAAAAACAAGAAACCGACTAAAAACACAGAAACCGACTAAAACACAGAAACCGACTAAAAACACAGAAACCGACTAAAAACACAGAAACCGACTAAAAACACAGAAACCGACTAAAAACACAGAAACCGACTAAAAAACACAGAAACCGACTAAAAACAGAAACCGACTAAAAACACAGAAACCGACTAAAAACACAGAAACCGACTAAAAACACAGAAACCGACTAAAAACACAGAAACCGACTAAAAACACAGAAACCGACTAAAAACACAGAAACCGACTAAAAACACAGAACCGACTAAAAACACAAAAACCGACTAAAAACACAGAAACCGACTAAAAACACAGAAACCGACTAAAAACACAGAAACCGACTAAAAACAAAAACGACTAAAAACACAGAAACCGACTAAAAACACAGAAACCGACTAAAAACACAGAAACTGACTAAAAACACCGACTAAAAACACGGAAACCGACTAAAAACACAGAAACCGACTAAAAACACAGAAACCGACTAAAAACACAGAAACCGACTAAAAACAAGGAAACCGACTAAAAACACAGAAACCGACTAAAAACACAGAAACCGACTAAAAACACAGAAACCGACTAAAAACACAGAAACCAACTAAAAACACAGAAACCGACTAAAAACACAGAAACCGACTAAAAACACAGAAACCGACTAAAAACACAGAAACCGACAAAAACACAGAAACGACTAAAAACAGAAACCGACTAAAAACACAGAAACGACTAAAAACACACAAAAAAAAACACAAAAAAACCAAAAAAACAAAAAAAAAAAAAAAACAAAAAAACAAAACAAAAAAAAAAAAAAAAAAAACAAAAACTAAAAACAAGGAAACGACTAAAAACACAGAAACCGACTAAAAAAAACACGAAAACCGACTAAAAAAACACGAAAACCGACTAAAAAAACACAGAAACCAACTAAAAACAAGGAAACCGACTAAAAACATGGAAACCGACTAAAAACAAGGAAACCGACTAAAAACACGGAAACCGACTAAAAACAAGGAAACCGACTAAAAACAAGGAAACCGACTAAAAACACGGAAACCGACTAAAAACACGGAAACCGACTAATTTATGAACTTAGTTTCATAATTTATGAACTTAGATTGTTTGTCGGTAAGAAGTTCATCCAAACAGCCTGTTTATGTTTGTGACAGTAGGAAGGAAACGCTGCGTTCACACAGCTGTTCTTGATGTTCAGTTCTGATTTTTTTTTGAAATCTGATTGTTTTTCATCTCCTAAATGAATCATTCAATGAAACAGCAGTCAGGCATAAAAGTAAAATCCCCCACATTCCTGTAAGTTAATAAATTTGTTCTTCTGCAAAAAACCCAAAAAGTACCAGGAAGAAAACGGTAAAGACAAGCTGACTCCATTAAACAGATGTAATCGGTGCGGAGCTGGATTGTTGTGGGCTCGCAGCCGCCCTCCACGATGTTTGCTACCTGCCACGCCGCCGGCATTCAGGGCCGCGCCATTAGCATGAGATGGGGGCCACCGGTGAAAGAGGAGCCTCAGCGGGCTCCGGAAAGCCAGGGAGGAATGAAAGCGAGAGAAACGAGTGAGAGTCTCCTCTCTGGACGCTTGGCATGCTGAGCGGCGACTCCAAAGCACAAACACACACGCCTCCAAATGTCCCTCTTCCTCCTGATTCCTCCGTTTCTCTTGGTTTGGATCCTTCGCCTTCCCCTCCTTTCTTCTTGTCACTCAGAGTTTCTGCGGATAAAACAAGCAGCAGACGCATCTCTGACTTTAAGAGTCGGCTCCTTTATCCTGCCGTCATTTAGCATTCAGGCTCTGCCCTGCAGTCTGAGCTGCTCTCAATAAACCACACGCAGGCCGACTGTCTCCATCATTCCTGCCGATTCGACGCTTGCAGACACACGCTGCATTCACTGAGCTCAGTCACATTCAGCTGTCAGCTCCACAAAGCTGCTGGAAGACCAGGCGCTTTCAGCCGCGGGAATGTTGGAGAATATTTAGAAATCTGGGGCAATAACAAGTCAAGTGGTCCTGAAGTGGAGCCATTCAAACGGCTTCAATGGTTTTCAAACGGTGTTTGAAATCTGGTCAAAGTGACACAAACGGACTCCAGCTGGACCCGACATTTTCATTCAAAACAAATGCAGATTTACTTCATGTTTCTGTTTTGATTAAAGTTATTACTTCACAACACAGAGGCTGAAAAAAACATTTAATCACAAGAATAATAATAATAGTACCAGATTAAAGTCATAATTTTACAAAAATAAAGTCGTAATAATTGGAAAAAACTCACAATAATACAAGAATAAAGTCGCAAAAGGTCAACATATGAATAAAGTCATAATATTATCAGAATACAGTCATAACATCACAGGAATAAAGTTGTAATATTAAGAGATTTTAGTTGTAATTTTTTATTCCTACCTGAAAAATATTTGAACATAAAACTGAGAATGTTGATCATCTTTTTAAATCAATTTCACAAATAAGGAAATATTTAATCTTTAAAAAATCAGCATCAAATTGTAATTATTATCAGGACAATCGATAAACTGTATCAGCTGAGCTGATTACGTCACATTTTAATAAATACTGAAACTCTTTGCTCATTAAAACATTTCTTTCCTTTGCAAATTTCATGTGTTTTTTTTTTTTTTTGCTATTATGCCTTAATTTTTATGATATTCATGACTCTCATAGTTTTCGGGAGGCTGACGTGTTTCTGTCCTTCCTTCCCTCCCTGCAGCGTCACCATGGAGAACATGTCTCGGTTCAAAGGTCAGGAGTACTGCCTGCACCCCAACCTGCAGAGCACCAAGAACCTGGTCAAATGGTTCCGCATCTGGAAGGACAAGCACAGGTAGCGAGGCGGCAGCGCAGGCTTTCGCCAAAACTGCATTTGACACGGAATAACTTATTGTTTTGCAACTGACAAATATTCAACATGTGTGAGAATATTTTATAATTAAAGCCTGCAGCCATAATAATTGTCATTTTTATCAGTTGTTCTGAAATTAGTCCAACAGAAAACAAATGATTAAAAAAATGTTTTTTATGCTGTTACAAGACAAACATGAAGATGTTTGTAACTAAAAGGTGAAAGAAAAATATTTGAATGGTTTTCATCAAAACAAATAATAATTGAAAAAAATCTGATTTATTTAGTCACTAAATGTTTTGTCATTTAGTTGATTAACTAAATGTTTAGCTTACGAATGAAATATTACATTTGGATAACATGGTAAAAATATGACTTACAAAAACAAAAACATTTTTCCTCTTATAACTCCAAAATTATTGCTGTTCATTTTGACAGTAACTTTGCAAACGGCGCCCCCTGTTGACCGTTGTTTTCCTTCCTCCACAGGGTGTACGAAGCCTAAGTCGTCCATCTCTCCAGAACAACAAGGATCAAGTGATCCAGACCGGGACAGAACCAGAACTGTTCTGAGAAGAAGACCTGCTGCATCTGTAGTCTGTAAATAATCTGACGGGATTATTTTAGTTTCCCGTCCAGGTAGTTCCATTACTCACATCGTTCCCGGCCTCCACGGCCTCGTCAGGTTTTATTTAAAGAACCGTCTCGGTTATTTTACCTCCTCGGATTCTACCAACGCGAGTCGGTTCAGGTTCTGCAGAAACACACAAACCAACAACATGTTCACATGAAACACACAAACCAACATGTTCACATGAAACACACAAACCAACATGTTCACATGAAACACACAAACCAACAACATGTTCACATGCAGCCAGAGAAACGATTCGTCATTCATTCAATACATTCGATCCTTTTTCTAGAAAAGATACTGACATTCTGGAAGAGACTGTGTGTGTGTGTTTGTGTGTCCAACTAGCACAACACTTTCCACCATGTTGTTTGTAAAGTATTCTCTGGTTTAGTTGCAGGTCGTAGGTCACAGGTCGTAGGTCGCAGGCCGTTCTGCATGGACAGCTGTGTTTATGTGAGTTAAAGTATAAATAATGCGAATCTCTCCTGTTCTATTCGTCTGTTAGGTTAAGATTTGTTATTTCATCCAAACAGTTTTTATTTGTTCAAAGCATCAGTTAGATTTGCTCCTTTAACCACAGATGGATCCTCTTCTTCAATCTTCATCCTGTCTGTATTATTCTTATATATCATTGAAGAGGTCAAATAAAATCTTTAAGATCTAAAATGAAATGTAGATGTGAATTTGGTGTTATTTTATTTGTTCATGAATTGTTTTCCCTTCCATTGAAGCCACAGACTTTCCTGTGTTTCATCTGGAGTTTAACACAAAGTAGTGGAAGAAAATCAATCATTTTCTGAAAAGTGTGGTGTGGCGGTATATTCAGTTTATTAGAGTACAGTCTGGGTAAAATGGGGGTGAATATAATTTTACACATTTCAGATTTTGTCTTTGTAAATAAAAATGGAAAATCTATAATTATTTCCCTCTGCAGTTCACTGCATGTCGGCCTGTCCTGTTTAAACTCTGAATAAAACATCGCAAGGCGCCGCATGAACATGGCAACATGTTGATTGATTATGCAGAATCAGGTTTTAGCAACACATTGCTCACTAATCTAAAACATATCCAGCAGCAGTCACTGGGCGATAAGTAAAATACTATATATATATATATATATATATATATATATATATATATATATATATATATATATATATATATATAGTGATTCTATTGTATTTTTTCCTTTTATTTTCCATATCAAAACTGTGCTGAATACCAGTCATTTACATGTGTTTATAACCCGATCTTGTTTTGTTGCCATTAAAGAAATTTTATGTTTGTGCATATAAATCCTTACAAATATGAACTTTAGCTGAAAAACAAATCTTCTATTGCAAATTCAAATATATATTTTTGGTACTTCTTTACAATAAGGTTCACTATTTGGCAAAAAAAACAGTACCTTTTCTCCTCATCCTTAATTAATGTGTAATAAACTAATTGATGATTTCTGAAGTGTTTAGAGATTAATTAATGACTAATATATGAACTATTTATGAGCTTATAAGCAGAGCCTTATTGTAAAGTGATTTTTTAACTCTCTGTATAAATCAGATTGTAACAGTGATTAGTATTTTATAGGAAAATAATAAACAGTCTTTAACAATAAAACCATAAAGTCTCATTGAAGAACTGGAGTTGTGCAGAATGAGCCGTTTCAGTGCCATACCACAGTATTTCCAACAGGTGGCGCACTTGACTAAACTTCCCATCATAAAGAAGTTTTCTGGTCATGAAATCTTCCAGAGGGAAACATTCAAACATCTCTATGCATGAACCTAATAAAGACACATGCAAACAGCGTCACTCTTCAATTATTATAAAATGTTTTGCATATGGCACCATTCTTAGACTGACTGTCGCTTTCCTTATATTAATTATTCATTGACTCTAACTCTCCATGGCAACTGTGCAAACTCCGCCTGCTAATGAGGACAGCAAGATGGAAACCTGAGGGCTGTGAAGCATTTTGTGTCTCAGGAATATTAATGCGCCAACAAGCTGGGAAATATTTTTGAAGGGAATTAAAGATAAGTGGAAAAAATAAGACCTGTAAAATGTGCAGGTTTGACATTTGTGTGTCTGTAAAACATAGAAAAGCTCCTGGAAAATGACTAATTGTGTAATTTAAGTGCTGTTATAAATGTAATTAACCTCGTTTCATTGCATGATTTTATATGAAAATGAGCTCAGAGTGTCACACACTCAGGGTTTGCATAATGAAATCATGCTTTTATAGTATTAATGTGATTCATATATCTTTCTGCATACATTTGCACTTAAATAGTGAAGAGCTGTATGGAAATCATCATTTGAATGTTTGGTGCAATAAAAGTAGAACGACAAAAACTGCATTCAAACTGTTCTTGATTATTTTTGCAACAATAACTCAAAGATTTTGAGTTATTGTTAAGATATTTTTTTCTTCACAGCAATTCATTTGTCATGATCTAAAAATTAAATCAGTTTAAATAGAATAAACTCTAAAATTGAACATTTTTATTCTGGAAGTTGATTAATTCAACCAGTAAAATGTATTTATGTTTTATTTCAAACCAAATTTTTGTTTCAGTTAGTTTGAGCTCTTCTGGAAGGTTCTGATCAACAGGGGTGGTCCGGGGGTTTATGAGGCCCTGGGCACTATTCCAGTTGAGTCCCCACTTCCAATTAAGCTGTTACTTTTACACTCACAAACGTTATTGTCAAGAGATTATAGTTTGAAATATAACAAATGTAACTTTCAAACTGTAATGTTTTTTTCCTCAATGTCTAAAGAAAAGTTTATTTATATATAGCATAAAATATTATCTGTTTTAATTGTTTGTATTTTTTCCAATCTATTGCAAATCAAAACTAAAGGAACACATTTACAAATAAATAAAGTGTGCAACTGGTTTAGTATAATACAGGCAGAAATGGTAATAAATGGTCTGGTAATTATGTTTTTGTTTGGACATTAAACTTTGTGGAAATTTGAGCTTCAGGGACGGCTTCTTGTGTTTTTGACTAACTTTTACGAAGCCAAAAGTAGCAAAGCACGCCATGATTTTTAAGTTTATTTGTATAGAACATTTCAGCAACAAAACCATTCACTCTGTACCACTCAGTATTTCAGAACCCAAATATTTGCTTCAGTTTGCGAGTCCTGTAAACAGCCATAACAGCACCAATAATATGTCGGTTAATTACAAATTATGCCAATTATAGTTACACACTCAGGAAAGACAAAGCGTCTGGTGTTGTCATGTTGGGCCCAAATTAAAATCTGCTAAGGGCCCCAAAAAGGCTTGAGCCGGCTCTGTTTGGAGAGCAGCAGCTCATTTGATTGACCTTTGACCCCAAGTCTATTCTATTCTATTCTGAAGAATTATGAGGGATTAGTGCACCTGAATAAAACAGCGATAAAATAGTAGTAGATGAAAATATTAAAATATGATCTGTTTGGGGTCAGTATTTGGCAGCCGCGCCCTCCCGCCGTGCAGTGAGTGTGAGGGGCGGGGTCAGTATTTGGCAGCCGCCCCCTCCCGCCGTGCAGTGAGTGAGAGGGGCGGGGTCAGTATTTGGCAGGCTCGGCCCGGAGGGTGTGTGCGAAAGGAGGCGAGTCTCTCTACTTGCAAACGGGCATCTGAGCCAGTCCGAGCAGAAAAAGGGAAACCAGGAACCGCTGTAATTTCGAAGCGTTTTTGCGATGTTCCCGACGATATTTCTTCGTCGTGTGCTTTGAGCCCGTCGCAGTCTCCGTCTGTTCGGACGCCAGCCGCAGAAAGAAGCGCAGAAATTGATGCGTGTTGCTCCGCGGCGCTGTTTGTTTTGACCTGGTAAGAAACCCGATTAGCTTCCCTGCTAGCTGCTCTTCTTCTGCTCAGCATCTCAGACGCTAACTGGTGTTAGCATGCTAGGCTAGCACGGTGTTGGACCGGTTCTTCCAGTTATGTAAAACGTTCATGTTTATTTTTATTGTATTTCTCCGGCTGTGTTTGCTGTTCGCTTTAAATTCCGAAGGTCTCTTGAATTTGAAGCGGTTTCTGAGGTTTATTTGTGTTGGCTGGGAGCTAACCGCTAGCGGCTAGCAGCACAGAGGCAGTTCTGTCACATCTCGAAGCTAACAGGAAGAGAAAACAGAAACAAAATGAAATGATGAGCAGAACCGCAGGAGGCTCTGAGCGGCACAGACTCGGTTGTTCGCGGTGTTTCGGGATGTTGTCGCTGGACTGTCTGTACCGGAGGAGAAGCAGCGGCAGGTAGAGTCACCTGTCTGCTCAGGTGTTAAAATGCTGATCAAATCAAACATTCAGGCTGATATGTGGATCAACGCGGTGCTGGTTTCGTTTTCTGTTTCTGGAGATGCTGATGCTTCCTGAACGGATGTTTCTGTCTGGGCTGGAATGTTCTGGTCCCGAGCGGCTCGGCTGGACCTGCAGATGGGTCACAGCTGGTTTAGCTGTTTGTCTCTGAAGCCGATGCTTGAATTGATCAATGATTGAAGTGATTAAAACGTTCAGGTTGGCCTGTGGAGGAATCCGCACTACTGGATCTCATCCTGTGTTGATACTTTAAGCTGTAAACTTTACTCAACATGTTTTGAACATTCATTTCCACAAGAAACTGGGAAATTTCTGAGTTTAAATTTGACTTTTTTTCTAGTAAATTCTGAGTGATTTTATTTTCTGAGTTCTTGGCAGAAATTTCCTACTATTTTTAAATCTACTTTGGCCCTAATTATTGTGAAAGTTCTGGATTTATAACATCCAGTTTGAAGAAAAAGAAAACTTGGAATATTTTATTTGCTTGGTTTTGTTTTTACAATCTTGGCTCATGTGACTAAAAGTTTGGATTTCTTTGATCCTTGTTTTGCCTGTTGGTTAGAATAACTGACTCTATGTACATTATATAAATGCAAATGCTCTGATTTGTTCATGTAACATATGTCCTCCAGGTAGTGGTAATTACTGCAGTTAATTAATTGCGAATGCTGAGATTTTAGTGGAGAGCCATGTATTGATCAGCAACATGTCGGGACATGTTGAGGCCTGCAGAGACACTCTGGGTCACTCAGGGGTCAGGTTACAGAAAACCAGGCATGATTAATGGAGAACAAAGTCAAAGTGCTTTCCCTCATTGAACATCATGGAGTTTTAAACTTTTGAGCGTTTTGAGTCAAAGTGAGGTTTGTAGAGAAAACACAGAGAGCGACTGAGGGCTAATGCTACAGAATGCTAATTGTAAAGTTGATGCCAGTAGATCAAAATCTAGAAAAATAATGGCTGAAAAATGGAAAAACATCAGCAGAAATGTTTTTGTGTTGGTCAGTAAAGATATTCAGATGAATTGTGGCTGTAAATAATTAAAGTGTTTTGAACACAAAGGCAGTTCAGATTAAATTATCTCTTTATGGCGAACATCTAATCAGAGCTGCAGACTGAGCCATAAATGTTGGAGCTGATCTGGGAATATTTGTAACCAAGACAGTTTAATGTGGATTTGCTTTCTGTATTTTAGAAGCTATAGGAAAATAGAAAAACTAATTAAAGTCTGGGAGAATATTTCAGATGCTTGTTTTCTAAATGGGTTAAAACTTTTTCTTTCTTTGCTTGTTTATTTCTTTTCTCTTTTTATTTTCTTTCTTCCCCTTGTTAATTTCTTTTTGTTTTTCTTTTTTCTATCA